TCTTCTCATTCATAACATCCACAATCATCTCTTTCTTATCATTCGCACAACATCCACACACATTCAAACATCCCACTGTGACGGTTTTCTTCTTTTTCTTTTTAGTAGGCTTTACAAGAAAAGGGGTTACAAGCCCATTGTTCCTGGCATTTTAGTTAACTTTTACAACATGCATGGCTTACGGAGGAAAGATTCTTATTCTACTTCCCAATGGATATGAAAGGAAAAGCAATAAGAACAAGAACTATTTTATTATTTTATTATCACACCGGCCGATTCCCACCAAGGCAGGGTGGCCCGAAAAAGAAAAACTTTCACCATCATTCACTCCATCACTGTCTTGCCAGAAGGGTGCTTACACTACAGTTTTAAACTGCAACATTAAACCCCCTCCTTCAGAGTGCAGGCACTGTACTTCCATCTCCAGGACTCAAGTCCGGCCTGCCGGTTTCCCTGAATCCCTTCATAAATGTTACTTTGCTCACACTCCAACAGCACGTCAAGTATTAAAAACCATTTGTCTCCATTCACTCCTATCAAACACGCTCACGCATGCCTGCTGGAAGTCCCAAACCCCTCGCACACAAAACCTCCTTTTCCCCCTCCCTCCAACCCTTCCTAGGCCGACCCCTTCCCCGCCTTCCTTCCACTACAGACTGATACACTCTTGAAGTCATTCTGTTTCGCTCCATTCTCTCTACATGTCCGAACCACCTCAACAACCCTTCCCTAGCCTCTGGACAACAGTTTTTTGGGAATCCCGCACCTCCTCCTAACTTCCAAACTACGAATTCTCTGCATTATATTCACACCACACATTGCCCTCAGACATGGGCATCTCCACTGCCCCCAGCCTTCTCCTCGCTGCAACATTCATCACCCACGCTTCACACCCATATAAGAGCGTTGGTAAAACTATACTCTCATACATTCCCCTCTTTGCCCCAAGGACAAAGTTCTTTGTCTCCACAGACTCCTAAGTGCACCACTCACTCTTTTTCCCTCATCAATTCTATGATTCACTCTCTCTTTCATAGACCCATCCGCTGACACGTCCACTCCCAAATATCTGAATACGTTCACCTCCTCCATACTCTCTCCCTCCAATCTGATATTCAATCTTTCATCACCTAATCTTTTTGTTATCCTCATAACCTTACTCTTTCCTGTATTCACCTTTAATTTTCTTCTTTTGCACACCCTACCAAATTCATCCACCAATCTCTGCAACTTCTCTTCAGAATCTCCCAAGAGCACAGTGTCATCGGCAAAGAGCAGCTGTGACAACTCCCACTTTGTGTGTGATTCTTTATCTTTTAACTCCACGCCTCTTGCCAAGACCCTCGCATTTACTTCTCTTACAACCCCATCTATAAATATATTAAACAACCACGGTGACATCACACATCCTTGTCTAAGGCCTACTTTTACTGGGAAAAAATTTCCCTCTTTCCTACATACTCTAACTTGAGCCTCACTATCCTCGTAAAAACTCTTCACTGCTTTCAGTAACCTACCTCCTACACCATACACTTGCAACATCTGCCACATTGCCCCCCTATCCACCCTGTCATACGCCTTTTCCAAATCCATAAATGCCACAAAGACCTCTTTAGCCTTATCTAAATACTGTTCACTTATATGTTTCACTGTAAACACCTGGTCCACACACCCCCTACCTTTCCTAAAGCCTCCTTGTTCATCTGCTATCCTATTCTCCGTCTTACTCTTAATTCTTTCAATTATAACTCTACCATACACTTTACCAGGTACACTCAACAGACTTATCCCCCTATAATTTTTGCACTCTCTTTTTATCCCCTTTGCCTTTATACAAAGGAACTATGCATGCTCTCTGCCAATCCCTAGGTACCATTACCCTCTTCCATACATTTATTAAATAATTGCACCAACCACTCCAAAACTATATCCCCACCTGCTTTTAACATTTCTATCTTTATCCCATCAATCCCGGCTGCCTTACCCCCTTTCATTTTACCTACTGCCTCACGAACTTCCCCCACACTCACAACTGGCTCTTCCTCACTCCTACAAGATGTTATTCCTCCTTGCCCTATACACGAAATCACAGCTTCCCTATCTTCATCAACATTTAACAATTCCTCAAAATATTCCTTCCATCTTCCCAATACCTCTACCTCTCCATTTAATAACTCTCCTCTCCTATTTTTAACTGACAAATCCATTTGTTCTCTAGGCTTTCTTAACTTGTTAATCTCACTCCAAAACTTTTTCTCTTATTTTCAACAAAATTTGTTGATAACATCTCACCCACTCTCTCATTTGCTCTCTTTTTACATTGCTTCACCACTCTCTTAACTTCTCTCTTTTTCTCCATATACTCTTCCCTCCTTGCATCACTTCTACTTTGTAAAAACTTCTCATATGCTAACTTTTTCTCCCTTACTACTCTCTTTACATCATCATTCCACCAATCGCTCCTCTTCCCTCCTGCACCCACTTTCCTGTAACCACAAACTTCTGCTGAACACTCTAACACTACATTTTTAAACCTACCCCATACCTCTTCGACCCCATTGCCTATGCTCTCATTAGCCCATCTATCCTCCAATAGCTGTTTATATCTTACCCTAACTGCCTCCTCTTTTAGTTTATAAACCTTCACCTCTCTCTTCCCTGATGCTTCTATTTCTCCTTGTATCCCATCTACCTTTTACTCTCAGTGTAGCTACAACTAGAAAGTGATCTGATATATCTGTGGCCCCTCTATAAACATGTACATCCTGAGTCTACTCAACAGTCTTTTATCTACCAATACATAATCCAACAAACTACTGTCATTTCCCCCTACATCATATCGTGTATACTTATTTATCCTCTTTTTCTTAAAATATGTATTACCTATAACTAAACCCCTTTCTATACAAAGTTCAATCAAAGGGCTCCCATTATCATTTACACCTGGCACCCCAAACTTACCTACCACACCCTCTCTAAAAGTTTCTCCTACTTTAGCATTCAAGTCCCCTACCACAATTACTCTCTCACTTGGTTCAAAGGCTCCTATACATTCACTTAACATCTCCCAAAATCTCTCTCTCTCCTCTGCATTCCTCTCTTCTCCAGGTGCATACACGCTTATTATGACCCACTTCTCGCATCCAACCTTTACTTTAATCCACATAATTCTTGAATTTACACATTCATATTCTCTTTTCTCCTTCCATAACTGATCATTTAACATTACTGCTACCCCTTCCTTTGCTCTAACTCTCTCAGATACTCCAGATTAATCCCATTTATTTCCCCCCACTGAAACTCTCCTACCCCCTTCAGCTTTGTTTCGCTTAGGGCCAGGACATCCAACTTCTTTTCATTCATAACATCAGCAATCATCTGTTTCTTGTCATCCGCACTACATCCACGCACATTTAAGCAACCCAGTTTTATAAAGTTTTTCTTCTTCTCTTTTTTAGTAATTGTATACAGGAGAAGGGTTACTAGCCCATTGCTCCCGGCATTTTAGTCGCCTCATACGACACGCATGGCTTACGGAGGAAAGATCTTTTCCACTTCCCCATGGACAATAGAAGAAATAAAAAAGAACAAGAGCTATTTAGAAAAAGGAGAAAAACCTAGATGTATGTATATATATATATGCATGTGCGTGTCTGTGAAGTGTGACCAAAGTGTAAGTAGGAGTAGCAAGATATCCCTGTTATCTTAGCGTGTTTATGAGACAGAAAAAGAAACCAGCAATCCTACCATCATGCAAAACAGTTACAGGTTTTTGTTTCACAGTCATCTGGCAGGACGGTAGTACTTCCCTGGGTGGTTGCTGTCTACCAACCTACTACCTATTAAGATAAAATCAAAGGAAACTCAGATGAGTGTGTATACATAAACGTGTACATGTATGTGTTGTGTGACCTAAGTGTAAGTAGAAGTAGCAAGACATACCTGAAATCTTGCATGTTTATGAGACAGAAAAAAGACACCAGCAATCCTACCATCTTGTAAAACAAATACATACAGGCTTCCTTTTTACGCTCACTTGGTAGGACAGTAGTACTTCCCTGAATGGTTACTGTCTACCACAAATTTTGATTTTTTAACATTATATTATAAAAATTTAGCCCAAATTAGCCCCCTTTTAAGGAAAGCACAATTTTTTTATAACACATCAGCTGTCTCCTACAGAGGTAGGGTAACCTGAAAAAGAGGAAGAAACATTTTCACCACCACTCACTCCATCACCAACTTACCAGAGGTGCACTGATACTACTGTTCAGATGCCCCTCCAATCCAGAATATACCTACCCCTTCTTCAGGCTTCAAGTACAGCTAACTGGTTTCCCTGTTACTTTGCTCACACTCCAACAGCACATCAAATAATAAAACCCACCTGCCTCCACTCACTCCTGTCTAACACACACACCTTTGGGATATCAAAGCTCCTCACATTCAAAACTTCCTTTGCCCCTCACTCCAACCTTTCCTAGGATAACCCCTACCTCTTCTTTCTTCCAGCACAGATTTATATATCCTCCAAGTTACCTATTTTACTCTACTCTTTCTATATGTCCAAACCACCTCAGTAACTCCTCCTTAGCCCTCTGGATAATACTTTTAGTAGCCCTGCATCTCCTAATCTCCAAACTACAAATTCTCTGCATAATATTCACATCATAAATTGCTCTCAGACATGACATCTCAACTGCCTTTAGTCTTCTTCTTGCTGCAATATTTAAAACACAAGCTTCATGCCTATATAAGTGCTGGTACCATGGTACTCTGATATATTCATCCTTTTGCCTCCATTGTAACATTTTGTCCCAACAGATGCCTCAATGTACCACCTATCTTTATTTGACTCATCAATTCTATTATAACACTACAAAATTTACAAAGTTGAAAATTCAAACACAATATAATATAACATTATTCTGCAAATACATCATTACTTATCTAATCAATTTTAACACAATACATTAAAAAAACATAAATGAAGTACTAACCTTCAGGTTTGAAATATGCTTGAATTGAAAGGGGTTACAAATAGAAATTTGTCGCTGAATTCTTTCATTCATGGCATGTGTGTATGTCTGATACACACTCATACACTTCTTGGCCAAGGCTGATGCATAGTAGATGGGTACCTCGTGTAACTCAGGGTGCTGCTGCCAGTACTCATCTACAAGACATACAAGTACTGTATTAAGGTTTTTGGGTACTGTATTAGAGTTAACTGTTAAAACTCTTCGATTATTATAACATCATGGGGTAACACAAATCTCTTTTAAAACCAAAAAATCTCCCCCCAAAATAAAAAGATGTAAGAAATACCTACAGCGTGCTAAAAAAAAAATCAGCAACACAGACAAGTGCTACAATAACATTTTAGAACACTGTATTGCACAATTAATAATATGATCTGTTTTCACTTTCTCCTATTTCTATTTACACACGAAAATTACTCCCTATGAAAGCAAAAGACTCAGCAGGCGATGCAACATCCCCCCCCCATTAAAAAGCAGGGGTGCCATGAGTGTTAAGAGACAATATAATAAGTGTCAGACTGTTCAGTTGCCTTCCAGCATACATAAGGGAAATTACCAATAGACCCCTGGCTGTCTTCAAGGAGGAGCTGGACAGGTACCTAAAGTCAGTACCTGACCACCGGGATGTGGTTCGCATACCTTTGCTTTCATACGTCGGTTTGCGTGCGACCAGAATTAACAGCCTGGTTGATCAGGCCCTGATTCACTATGAGGCCTGGTCAAAGACTGGGCCATAGGGGTGTTGACCCCAGAAACCCTCTCCAGGTATACTGTATGTATCTAACAATTTTTTTTTTTTTTTGCAGACATCAAACATTGCCAATTAATCACCATTCACAGAACTACTTCATACTTTTTTTTTCAACAAGCTGGCCATCTCTCACCAAGGAAGGGTGACTCAATAAAGAAAGAAACACTTTCACCATTCTCTTCAAAATATTTTCTGTACTGCATTTTAGTTACCAACCACATATAAATTTAGGCCCTTTTTACCTCTTCAAGGTTGGTACAGCGGAACCTCGATTTTCGTATGCCCTAGTTGGAGACAATTCTTGGAGAAAATGTATTTTTCGTTAATATTTTTGGGTGTCTGGAACGGAACCAATTAATCTGTTCCAGACACCCAAAAATATTAACAAAAAATACATTTTATAGATAATTTTATCCAAGAATCATCTCCAACTAGGGCATACGAAAACCGAGGTTCCACTTTACTTTGATGCTGGTCAAGGGCTCTTGATCTAGGGACCAGGGCTGCTCTCCCCTTCCACAGATCTAAGTTCACAAGACTGAAGTTTTGACACATTCTACAAAGAACAGGAAACAATCCTTTACCATAATTTTGTTAATGCATGTAATGAGAGTTCCAGAATATCAATAACTCTGCAGTGATTACTCCTAAAACTATTATTTTCAAGAATAACTATGTGTACAATCACAAAGAGGTTTTTGTGGCATTTATTGATTTGGAAAAGGCATATGATAAGGTGGATAGGGGGGGCAATGTGGCAGATGTTGCACATGTATGGAGTAGGAGGTAGGTTACTGAAAGCAGCGAAGAATTTTTACGAGATAGTGAAGCTTAGGTTAGAGTATGTAGGCGAGAGGGAGATTATATCCCAGTAAAAGTTGGCCTTAGACAGGGATGTGTGATGTCACCATGGTTGTTCATTATATTTATAGATGGAGTTGTAAGAGAAGTGAATGCTCAGGTGTTGTCAAGAGGTGTGGCGTTAAAAGATAAAGAATCTAACACAAAGTGGGAGCTGTCAGAGTTGCTCTTTGCTGATGACACTGTGCTTTTGGGAGATTCTGAAGAGAAGTTGCAAAGCTTAGTTGATGAGTTGGGGAGGGTATGAAAAAGAAGGAAATTAAAAGTGAATATAGGAAAGAGTAAGGTGATGAGGATGACCAAAAAATTAGGTAACGGAAGACTGGATATCAGACTGGAGGGAGAGAGTATGGAGGAGGTAAGTGTATTCAGATATCTGGGAGTGGACGTGTCAGTAGATGGGTCTATGAAAGATGAGGTGAATCATAGAATTGATGAGGAGAAAAAGGTGAGTGGTGCACTGAGGAGTCTGCAGAGATAAAGAACTTTATCCATGAAAGCAGAGAGAGGAATGTTTGAGAGTAATGCTATACCAACACTCTTGTATGGGTGTGAGGCATGGGTGGTGAATGTTGCAACAAGGAGAAGGCTGGAGGCAGTGGAGCTGTCATGTCCGAGGGTAATGTGTGGTGTGAATATAATGCAGAGAAACCATAGTTTGGAGATTAGGAGATGTGGGATTACCAAAACTATTATCCAGAGGGCTGAGGAGGGGTTATTGAGATGGTTTGGACATGTAGAGAAGATGAAACAATATAGAATGACTTCAAGTGTGTATGCATCTGTAGTGGAGGGAAGCTGGGGTAGGGGTTGGCCTAGGAAAGGATGGAGGGAGGGGGTAAAGGAGGTTATGTGTGCGAGGGGCTTGGACTTCCAGCAAGTGTGTGTGAGCGTGCTAGATAGGAGCAAATGGAGACAAATGGTTTTCAGGACTTGACGTGCTGTTGGAGTGGAAGCAAGGTAACATTTATAAAGGGATTCAGGAAAACCGGCATGCCGGACTTGATTCCTGGAGATGGAAAGTACAGTGCCAGCACTCTGAAGGAGGGGTGTTAACGTTGCAGTTTTATAACTGTAGTGTAAGCATGCCTCTGGCAAGACAGTGATGGAGTGAATGATGATGAAAGTTTTTCTTTTTCGGGCCACCTTGCCTTGGTGGGAAACTGCTGATATGTTAATAAAAAAAATAACAATAAAAATAATCACAAACTATGCAAAAGAAATACATACTAATGAAGCATACCTAAAATTAAGAGGAGTTCCTGTGCTCGTCCAAGAGCAAACACAGGTATTAGACAACGGCCACCACGACCCACGATCGTATGAACTGTTGTGGTGAAACGAGATTCTCGACTTTCACGAGGCTCGTGAATGCTTACACCATATGTTGATTCAATCATCAAAACATCTGGCCGAATCTGGGGTATTTCTGCCATCATTAAGTGACGGTCTTCTTGCCTTGAAAAATCACCAGTGTAGAGTATCTACAAGAAATTTAAAGTGCATTAGCCAAAAAACATTGTGAAAGACTTTGTGCATTCATTTACAATACAGTGTCTTACGTAGTAATGAAATCACGAAACAAGTGATTTTAAATCATTTACCAAACTGCGGCAGGCCAGGACTCAACCCTACAAACCTTGTACTGCCTCCAGAGACAGCACAATGCACGCATCACCTTACCACGGAGCCAGTGATCCTACAAAGAACCAAGCACAACAGCATGTAGCTATGTGTTTTTTGCCTTGGCTCAAGGACACTTGTGGCAGTGGTATCTCAAGGATTAATTTCAGCCTCATCTTGTTTGAATACCTGCCTCAACAAGCAGTCTATATAGTAATGAAATCACCAAACAAGTGATTTTAAATCATTTACCAAACTGTGGCAGGCCAGGACTCGACCCTATGAACCTTGTACTGCCTCCAGAGACAGCACAATGCACGCATCACCTTACCACAGAGCCAGCAATCCTACAAAGAACCAAGCACACAGCACGTAGCTATGTGTTTTTTGCCTTGGCCCGAGGACACTCATGGCAGTGGTATCTCAAGGATTAATTTCAGCCTCATCCTGTTTGAATACCTGCCTTAACAAGCAGTCTATATAGTAATGAAACCACAAAACAATGATTTTAAATAATTTACCAAACTGCGGCAGGCCAGGACTTGACCATACGAACCTTGTACCGCCTCCAGAGTCAGCACAATGCACACATAACCTTACCACAGAGCCAGCGATCCTACAAAGAACCAAGCACACAGCACGTAGTTATGTGTTTTTTGCCTTGGCCCAAGGACACTCGTGGCAGTGGTATCTCAAGGATTAATTTCAGCCTCATCCTGTTTGAATACCCGCCTCAACAAGCAGTCTATATAGTAATGAAATCGCGAAACAAGTGATTTTAAATCATTTACCAAACTGCGGCAGGCCAGGACTCGACCCTACAAACCTTATACGTGCTGTGTGCTTGGTTCTTTGTAGGATCACTGGCTCCATGGTAAGGTGATGCATGCATTGTGCTGTCTCTGGAGGCAGTACAAGGTTCATAGGGTTGAGTCCTGGCCTGTCGCAGTTTGGTAAATTATTTAAAATCACTTGTTTCATGATTTCATTACTATATACACTGGTTGTTGAGGCAGGTATTCAAACAGGATGAGGCTGAAATTAATCCTCTCCATTATGTCTGGAAACTTTCCAAAATTTCAAGTTTTAAAGTTACTTCATGTTTTAAATATAGGTACTCTGATAATTATACTTATGTGTACCTGTACCTTAATAAGCTTACACACTGTGCTGGCGTGCAGGTACACATTATAATTACCAAGATCGTCTTATTAGTCTTGAAGATGCCATATTAATAATGATAATAACAATAATACGCAATAACAATCACTCTGAGGTGCATTAAATGTTGTATATTACGTTAATATAAACATTTTCTTTAATTCAATTAGGATATTTTTTCAAAATTATATAATAAACATGCTACATAACATATAAACATGATAAATACACCCCACAGAAGAATAAATTAACATAAATATGAGATGTTACATGTAGATAAACTGTATGAACCATAACCAGATGCATTCATCTGCTTGTTTACATACTACGTGTCTCTCCTCTCTCATTTACTCATTCTCTCTGTCTCTCTCTCGTTTATTCGTTTTATCTTGTTTACTCACCTCTCACCCTATGTGGCATGCAAAGAGTACGTAACCTTTATTCGGCACATGTACACACCCTCATTTACAGGCTATCTCCCCCAACCAGGTGACTGAGGGTTGACGATGGGCCCCGTCGTTTAACCAGTACCCAGGTTCCAGCCAATGAGAAGATGGTTTTGGCAATTGCAGAGGTTATGTGGGTACCACTCTCCTGTCTGCCCTTGTCATTCCCATTCTAGAGCTGGTTGAAGCACGGTCTGCTTTCTAGTGGCTTCTATTCTGCCTTGCTTACTGTGGAGTGCACTAATACCTATTGCTGTACATAGTGTATATAGTGTACATACTTCTGTTCTAAATTGGTGAAGGATAATATAAGTTAAAAGTTTTCTGCTGTGTTTATTTTGCTCCCTTTACACCCAGGATAACAGGCCAATTGGGCTCCTGGGTTGTAATACCATACATTATACTACAAATATTTTAAGGTAAGTAATGAGTGTACTGCATATGCATTTTATCACTCTAGGGCACTTTAAATGTCATAGTACATTATGTGTGGGTGGGGTCTGCAGCCTGGCCTGGCTGGCTACCATGTACCTCCCACACCTGACTTCCTACAAATAAATACTACTCACCTCTAACCCTACATCAAGACTACAGATATTTTAAGGTAAGTAATGAATATACTGTATATGCATTTTATCGCTCTGGGGAGCTTTAAATGTCATAGTATATTACGTGTGGATGGGGTGGTCTGGCTGTCTACCATACCTCCCACACCTGACTTCTTACAATAAATACTAGTTGCCTCTCACCCTACATTAAACCTACAAATATTTTAAGGTAAGTAATGAGTGTATTGTGTGTGTATTTTACTTTTTATTGTTTTTAATGTCTAGTTCTATTGTTAACTTAATATATGTTAGTGTAAACTTGTTATCTGCCATTTATATGCACTTATAAGTGGAAAAAAAATGGCATTCCACTTTCCGGCAGTAACCTGGAACCTAACCTGCCATATAAATGGGGCTACATATCAGTCATTATTTATAAAGAAGTGCAAGATACCACTTGCACAAGCACTCAGTATACAATTGAGAAAGAGCTTATATATAGGTGAAATCCCAGAGGCCTTAAAGAATGCAGATGTAGTTCCTTAACTCAAAAGCGGTAGAGCTTTTGCAAAAAATTACAGATTAGTAGCACTAGCATCACACATCATAAAAGTCTTTGAAAGGGTGGCGAGATACCAAATTACAAACTTTATGGAAAAGCATGACCTAAACAACACAAATCAACATGGATTTAGAGTGGAAAGTTCACATCAGTATAAAACATGTACGACCAGAAGTACCTTTACACCAGCAATCTGGATCATGAACATAGCAGCACCAAGCACATGTCCTGCGTGGTAGCACCAGAACTTGATACCATGAACCTCCTTTTCTTCGTGAAAGTTGATCACATTAATCTTGTTGAGAGAAGCTTCAAGATCGCTCTCAGAGTACAACATGTGCTCAGTAGCAATGTTACTGTCAGGGAAAGGAAAACAAAATATTGACATTAAAATCTAATACGGCCATAACAGCAAGCAAACAAGTATAAAATTTCTTTACAGATGTGACAGGAGTGACAGTGTGACAGGAAATATTTCATGTGAAAATTGTAAGGCAGCTAAGTGAACAATGAAGGAATGTTCTTTAGAGTAAAAGAGAGGAGAAAAAATATAAAATATAGAATTTTGTTATTTAGAAATAAGTACAGACAAAATTCATTGGGTCAATTTATTTGTATATAATAGACAAACTTTGTTAGTTATAGGATAGTCTGTTATTGTTACCATCATTGTAAAAACAATCTCATCTCTATCTACCACAATCACCATTACCATCCACTTGCTCTTCCCTATTAGTCTATTAATGAAAGGTTTACTATAGAAAAATCAGTGTAAATATGACAAAGATTATCTTCAAAAGTAGTATCATGTAACAGTAAGATAAACTTTGATTTATTTATATTAGCAACATGGGGATATTTGCAGCTGTAAACTGTTGTATTGGTGCCTCTCTGGCAAGACAGTGATGGTGAAAGTGTTTCTTCTTTTTTATGGGCCACCCTGCTTCAGTGAGAAATGGCCGGTGTGTTAAAAAAACAAATAGTACCTTTAATACTCACAAAATCATAATAATACAATTGCAAACAAAGCACAGAACAGGTGGAGTTTGAACCCATGGCTTACACACTAGCCTGGAGTTTTACGACTCACTCACCATGGGTTCAAATCCCACCCATTCTGTGGGTTATACCTTATATGTTAATTCTGAGAGCTTACCTAACTTTAATGTAATCAGAAAGAAGCCATTTGTAAATGGCTTTTGTTGGATGAGTCATGAAGCAACGTCCTTTGAAACGTGTTCTCATCAAGAACCAGGGCAAGCCTCCAGCGTGGTCCAGGTGGAAGTGCGATACCAACATAAGATCTATTTGCTCAGGATCAATGTGGTCGACGAAAGGCAAGGCACTCATTCCAGTCAGGGCAGGATGGATGCCAAAGTCCAACTGAAACAAGTAATACTGATTCACAACTAACTCACGGACTGGAAACAGAAGACAGCCACCAGTTGGCCTGACTTGAGTCCTGGAGGTGGAGAGTGCAGTGCATGCACTCTGAAGGGGTGAGGATGGTGCAGTTTGAAGGGCTATCTGAAATGTGATGTGGGTATGTTTCTGGCAAGACAGTGATTAAATGAGTGATGGTGAATGTGTTTCCTCCTCTTTTTTGGTCAACTTGCCTGAGTGAGAGACAAAAGATGTGGCATTTAAAAGTAAAAAATGCTAGATGGCATTTCTGCCCATCATGAACCATTATCAAGCTTTATATTAATTAAAATTATCTTTATCCTTATCTATCAGTAACACCCAGCTGAACAAAATATTTATGTGCACAAAATTTCACAATAATAAAATGGGCAGAAAATACTGTAGGTTAATATCTGCCAATTTAAGGGGTAAAAATGATTGTTAATTATATGCTACACTATAATTTTTTTAATTTTAATTTTTTTTTTTTTTTTATTTATTAATCACAAAAAAGATTTATTCTTCATTTTCGTTTTGCATTTGCGGTCCAAATTATGCAACAAATATTATTCATTCAAACTTATACAAAGCATTACACCATACTGAAGTTTCACTCACCAAAACTTTTTTGCCCTTGAATTCCAAGAAGTGACATGATCGTCCAACTTCTTGGCCAGAGCCTCTACAAACAGAAAAATAAAATATATTACTAAATTATATTCACAATTACTTGAACAATAACTGTTAAGATACGATTTTGTTCTAATTTCTGACCCAGAGGGTTAGATACCTGGAATAAGCCAATAAAGTCAGTGCATCATTGGGGACTGTCAGTTGTATTATAATCATGGGGAGCACTAAACCCATAGGAGTCATACAGTGCCTCAGGAAATGGAAGGCATTAAGGCTTGATTTAAGGAATTAGAGAATTGGTCCACTCCTTAAGATCATGACCCCCTCGCCAGCTTCAAGGAATTTTCTTTGATTGGCTGGGGTCCTTGACTCTTCCTTCATATGTGAGTTGAAGGCTCTACCATTTGAGCCACGAATCATTTTTTTTTTACAGAATTTAGTAAGGCCTGTTAGGTTAAGTTCAGAAAGAGTTGTCTTGATGTTATTTCCTGAAACGACAAAACACGTCATCACAACGTTCACGTGAAGAGGTATTAAACTTATAGGGGTCATCGATCACCTGTGGAGTGTAAAGCAAATCACGTCTGATCCGAGGAAGAGGAGGGAAGATATGAGACCTGAAAGATCAGCCAACACTTCTCAACCATACAAAATAAATGCCAAGATAAAACCATATAGCAAAAATAACCATCCCAAGGTTAAAAAAAAAAAAAAAGGCCACACCAATCCCTTGGATCAAGAGCCCCTCACCGAAAGACCATGTCATAAAAATAACTAACCCAGGGAAGAAAAAAAGTCACTCTAATTCTTTGGATCAAGAGCCCTCACTGGAAGACAACATCACGAAAAAAACCATCCCGGGGGGAAAAAAAAGTCACTCCAATCCCTTGGATCAAGAGCCCCTCACCAAAAGACCATATTGCAAAAATAACCATCCCAGGAAAAGAAAAAAAAAAAGCCCCTCCAATCCCTTGGAGCAAGAACTCCTGCTGTGCAAGAATGGTATACAATACCGACAAGATGAAATTAAGACACATGTGCAACATCTGGGTATCTTTATTGTAGACGTTTCGCCATCCAGTGGCTTTATCAATACAAATTCTAGGACATAGCTTGAAGACAGTAGAACTATGTACAGAAGATGAGGCTTATATAGTAACGTCAGGTGTAGCAGACGAGGGCATAGTCACTGGTAGGCGGGATTCCCCAGTGGAAGTAGGTCCTTCCCAAAGAGATGGGTTAGTTGTAGTAGTAGTTGTCGTAGTCGTGAAGGTTATGTACATGTCCTCAGAATCAAGATTCCATGATGTTGCAGTGTCTGACAACTACTACTACAACTAACCCATCTCTTTGGGAAGGACCTACTTCCACTGGGGAATCCCGCCTACCAGTGACTATGCCCTCGTCTGCTACACCTGACATTACTATAGTATAAGCGCCAGGCTCCTTGCTTCTGCTTCAGAATCTCCACGACTATGGTGCTCTTCGCACCTACTCCAAGGTTGAGGGACTGATTACCTCATCTTCTGTATATAATCCTACTATCTTCAAGTTATGTCCTGGAATTTGTATTGAAAAAGCCACTGGATGGCGAAACGTCTACAATAAAGATACCCAGATGTTGCACATGTGTCTTAATTTCAGCAAGAACTCCTCACCGAAAGCAATCCCCCACTTTTATTACAATCAAAACTAAGCGTTAAACCTGCAAGGGTCAGACAGCTCCCAGAGCACCACTAAGTTTATTCAGGTATACACAATTACACAGAATATCATACATAGCAGCATATGTGTAGGAACTCAGGATAACCCCAAAAAAAGTCAGAGTGACTTATATCCATTGGAGTCGTTGTGATAATTATTATTTACATATAAAAATTAAAACAGCAAAGTATCTTAACTATATAAAAGCAGTTACAATAAAAGAAGATATACTAGAGGAGAGGTATTATTAATCATAAGGAGCGCTAAACCCGTAGGATTATACAGCGCCTGTGTGGGGGGGGGATGTGGAAGGTATTCAGGCTCAATTCAGAGAACCAGAGCACAGATCCAATTCCCTAGATCAAGAGCCCCCTCACCAGCGTGAGGGAATTCTTATCACAGCAATCTTACAGCGGTGTGATCTTCAACTCGTCGCTCTCTTCCTCTGGAAGATTCAGAACCTGGACCCTCGGGGCGGCACGAGTGGTTGAAGTCATACTTGAGAATACAATACACGCGACTGTATGAATACAACAGAAACTTTGGAACTATTGTTGTTGTAGTAGTATAGAGCCGCCTCAGTGTAAGCCGTACTGAACCCTCCCGCCCGGTGTCCGCCATCGTGGGTTCGTTTATTTATGTCAAACAAGTTAGTAAGCAAGCAAGTAGGCAAGCAAGTAGTTAAGCAAGTAGGCAAGCAAGTAGCTAAGCAAGTAGGCAAATGGGTAAGCAAATAGTTAAGCAAGCAAGTAGGCAAGTAAGCAAGAAAGAAGTTAAACAAGCAAGTAGGCAAGCAAGTACTTAGCAAACAAGCAGGCAAATAAGCAAGCAAACAGTTAAGCAAGCAAGCAAGCAAGTAGTTAAGCAAGCAGGCAAGTAAGCAACCAAGCAAAGTTAATAAATAAGCAAATAAGCCAGCAAAGTTAGAAATAAACAAACAAGCAAAGTTAGTAAATAGAAAAACAAGCAAGTGAAGTAAATAAGTAAGCAAGTATAAATATGGGAGCAAGCAAATTGGTAAGCAATTTAGCAGGCAAGTTTGTTGAGATATATTACACAATATTTAATGCGTGTAAATTACCTAGGGACCTCCCCTCCCTCCCCCCCCCAAAAAAAATAAGGTGAGATATACACTAGTTTAGACAATCATACAGCTCTACCGAGTCAATACTGAATCTCTGTACCGAGCTAAACATTAATAAGTTTATTTAGGTACAGGTAAAGGCAACAGTTACACAAATAAGTTAGACAGTGTGACTTATACCATTGGGGTCCTTGACCCGTTGTCCTAATGGAATCCTTTGGTCACGAAATGTCCACCATGAGGCTTGGTCTCAGACCAAGCCGTGGGGGCGTTGACCCCTGACACCCTTCTCCAGGAAAACTCCAGGTAGTGTATGTATATATACAAATATTAACTAGCGTATACTCTAGGACTATATATACTAATAGACACGTATCACGTACTTTACGGTGCACGGACGACCCTTCGTAAAATGAAATCGTCCGTGGTTGATACATGACCGGATCCGGATAGAATTATTTTTTAGATAAGCCTACAAATGGTTGTACCAACAGTAGCAGAAGTTTATGCAATGATTCTGAGGCTACACTGATGTTATAGGCCTACACATATGTTGCATCATGTCAAGTTTACTGTACTTGCACTAGATGCCTTCGTATGGTCTATATATTGCTAACTGACACTCCTAGTGGACAGTGATTCTGCTAGATTCTATCAGCACCTTGATGATTGTTTACCAAGTTATGTTTGAGAAGACAAGATTATATTCAGCATTTCTATATGCATTGCTAGTTTAGCTAAGACAAAATTTATCTTTTTCTATGAGGCCTATATAAGTGAAAATCTACAAAATATTGACTAAACTTCCTTTATCTTTAGATTATTACCTAAATAATAATAATAATAATAATAATAATAATAATAATAATAATAAAAATAATAATAATAATAATAATAATAATAATAATAATAATAATGTACAAGGCATATAGGCCTAATTGACATCAGAGACATACTATATTTAAAGCCACTTGCTATGCAGAGCATTTCGGGCAAATTAGGTTAATTTTGTCCCCAGGATGCGACCCACACCAGTCGACCAACACCTAGGTACCTATTTTACTGCCAGGGAAACATAGGTAACAGGTGTCTTAAAGAAACACGTCCTAATGCTCCCACCCGTACCGGAGATCGAACCACGGACCTCAGTGTGTGAGGTGAGTGCCTGATACATTTAGGCCGATCTCCTTAACTAGTTGTCTTTGCAAAACTTTTGAAAGAATGATGCTTAACAGATTGTACTACAGAATCAGACATCAACTTTCCCCCTACCTCTATGGGTTCATGAAAGGTAAAAGTGTGCAGAACTGTATTTCCACCTTTCTCACTGCACACACCTCTACTAGTTTTACCACTTTTCTTGATCTAAAATCTGTATTTGATATTGCAAACAGAACCGTTATACTACATGAACTAGCCAAAATGAATATTGGTGGTAGCTTACTCTGCTGGATAATAGGATACCTGTCAAATAGAGTATCCTCTGTCCTTTACCAAGCTTCAGAAGTGATTCTAAAGAAATGTCTTTAGGTACACCGCAGGGAGGAGTTCTTAGTCCCATGCTATTTAATATTCTGATTAATGCTCTCCTAAATGCTCTACCTGCCTCACCTAAACATATAGCTATAAGCTATGCTGATGATATCATGATCCATACAACAGGGCATAAGAAGATGAATACCATTCTTAATGAAGTTCAAGCAATTTGTAATCGACTAGGCCTCATAATATCTTCCTCTAAAACAAAGATATTAACAAGCAAACGACATCCCCCACCCATCTATTGCAGGGTGAAATCATTAGCTACGTTAAAACTTACTGATATCTTGGTGTAGATGCACCCTTTAACAAATCCACTATACCACAACCAAACAAGAAATGTAAAGCTAGGCTAAATGCTCTCAAAGCTGTTGCTGGCTACAATCCCAACTATGGTGCTAATGTGAGAATCGTGAGAATGATGTACATAGCCTATGTTAGGTCCTTAATTGATTATGCTGCTCCCATGTTGATATTAGCTAGAGAAAGTTCCCTCCGACCCTTGGAGTTAATGCAAAATGAAGCTCTCAGGACTATTCTTGGCTGTCCCAGATCTACAAAAGTTCTTAACATGAGGAAGGAGCTTGGTATTTCTAGTATCAGTGATAGGATTGTTGAAATTAACACTGTACTCGGTATTAGAATGTTGAGAAACGAACCAGACACTGTCACAGTGAATCTTACCAAGTGTCTAGAGGTAAATACACACAGATCTAAATGGATTGTGAAAAACGTGCAATTGCATTAAGTTTTATAACCATGCATCAACTGTATCACTGTAGGCAACAAGAGCATTTCACCCCTCCATGGAAGATGTGTTCATTTAATATCACATACCTACAAGTCCCTCCCAAGAAGCTCATTGCTAGTAATCCCTTCCTTAAATCTCTTGTTATAGCAACTGCTCAAGAAGAAATTTTTCGCCTAGCTGGTAGTAATAAGTTATCACAAGTTATATACACTGATGGATCTAAACAGGAGTCTTCTGGCAGGGCTGCATCTGCTCTTGTTGCCACCTCCCTAGTTAAGAACGATAATAAATTTGTTGAGTTAGGCATAAGAATTAACAACTGGGCGTCTACACTGCAAACTGAATTGTTTGCAATCCTAATGGCGCTAAAGCTAAACCTTGACACTGAGCTTGACTCTATTATCATTACTGATTCTATGTCATCATTGAAGGCTCTTGGCTCATATAATGACTCCAACAACATGCTCATTGGGGAAGCCAGGTATAGATACTCAAAAATTAGGGACAAAGGAATTAATGTACAATTGCTATGGATCCCAATCACACATTGGATTACTCCTTCATGATAAAGTTGATGTGTTAGCCAAGAAGAGTACCCAGAAGGAGAATGTAGAATATAACTTTGGTATAACTGTGTCTAGCATTAGGAATAATATTAGGAGAGAAGTAAATAATGAAGATGATTGTTATAGGAATGCAGTTAGAAGCCTGAGTAGATCTATAACCCACTATGATAACATGAACGTAGATAAGTATGTTTATGGAGCAACTTGCAATGTGAACAGACTGACTGATGTTGTAGTGGCCAGGCTTAGGCTTGGTTACAAGTACTTCTGGCAGTTTGGGAGACACACAGATGATGATCAAACTAAATGTAAATTATGTGATCAGGCATATGGTCACTCTCTTGAACACTATGTGCTTAATTGTCCACTTATTGAGGAATACAGAGACAGACAGTATAATAACCTATGTGACATGTCAAGATATCTTATTAATGAAAATAAGATACCAGATATACTAAGCAAATTTCCTAAATTTGCTTGTAACAGATAAGTGAACTATAGATATGTAGATATAAATCCATATGTATTCCTGTTAACCCTTTGGGGCCTAGTTCCTAGGCCTTTTGTGTATCCACATGCTCTCGCGCTACCGTCCACAGGATGGATATGGGGTGCACAATAAACTAGCCACTTCGGTGGCAAAATCTAAATCTAATCTAATCTGATGGAATATTTCTGGATGACCATCAAGTGTGATGGATTGTATCAGAAAAGTATTCTATGTGATGGAATATAATGGTAACTCACCCTGTGAGAATATGTCTGACACAATAATTATCCTATGTGATGGAACACGACAGAAAACCATCCATTATAATGGTGTGTGACAGAAAAAACATGTGTAATGGAACATAACTGGAGAACCACCAAAAGTGATGATGGTAGCACAAAAAAAAAAAAAACTGCGCTGGAGTATGGAGGAAAAAACCTCCTGTTTTGAAGTGTGGCGGGAAAATTTCCTCGCTAGGATGTACCTGTATGGCAGGAAATTCTTCCTGTTTACTGGAATACAACAGGAAATTCTTCCTGTTTGCTGGAATACAACAGGAAATTCTTCCTGTTTGCTGGAATATAGCAGGAAATTCTTCCTGTCTGCTGGAATACAACAGGAAATTCTTCGTGTTTGCTGGAATACAACAGGAAATTCTTCCTGTCTGCTGGAATACAACAGGAAATTCTTCCTGTTTGCTGGAATACAACAGGAAATCCATCCTGTTAATATGAGAGGAAATTTGATCCTGTTTAATGGAATATGACATGAATTCCATGGAATTTGAAAGGAAATTCATCCTGTTAATGGCACATGAGAGGAAAGCCATCCTGAGCGCTAGAGGTTTGTAAAATACTTAACAGATCAGGATAGTATCAAGTTGGCCACACAATACTGTTTAATTTTATTAATAACAAGCGCTCAATACACAGTTCCATTATTCCTTTTATTGTCTTAAAACTTTACTCACAAAATTATGCAAACGTAAAACTGTTTAGTCTATGTTAAATGTAGCAAATTAAAAAAAATAACTCATCGACCTTGCCAGGATTCGAACCTGGAATCTTCTGATCCGTAGTCAGACGCGTTATCCGTTGCGCCACAAGGCCGGATATACGTGGTGTATCATACAATGCTATATATATATATATATATATATATATATATATAAATATGTCGTGCCGAATAGATAAAACTGGTTGATTAGGAAGAACTCATTTAAAATTAAGTCCTTTTTAAAAAAATTCTCTTATACGTTTAGAGATATATTTTTCATTTATGTTTATATAAAAAATAATAATTTTGTACCAAAAGAACCTTAGAAAACTTACCTAACCTTATTATAACAAGCGTAATTTAATTTAGCCTAATCCAACTAAATATATTTTAGATAAGTTTACAATATTTTAATAATAAACAAACACAATGAAATATATTTTTTTCGTTTTGTTCAAAATGATTTTTGCGAAAATATTGCATACACAAATTTTCGCTTGCTTTATTCGGCAAGAAGTGCGTTGCTATTTAAGCCAAAATCGCAAGTTTTACTTATTCGGCACGACATATTATATATATATATTATATATATATATATATATATATATATATATATAATATATATATATATATGTATATATGAATGAGCCAGGAGCTGAGTCTCGACCCCTGCAACCACAATTAGGCGAGTACACACACACAACTGTCTATCTATATCGGGTTATTGAGCCAATCACATATTTCCATATAGTTTATCCTCCTTGAGAGTAATATCGCACTGTCGAAACGTTTGAGGGGTAATGCACAGAACACAAAAAGAAGCTTTCATTGGAACAACGTTTCGCTCTGTGTGGAGTTTCACCAGTTCACGACAAAGCTCTATATGCACAGAGAGAGAGAGAAACGTCGCCACAGATTAAAGCTCCTTCCAGCAGCCTCTTTATTTTCTGACCAGTATTTCTGCAGTTTCTTCCTCGTCGTCCGGGCCAATCAGAGGCCTGAGTGGTGGGGGGGGGGGAGGGGCAGGACCACTCAGTGACGTACCTGAACACCAACATCAACCATCTTGCTCCATAGTGCTCTGATTCCCCAAATTTTAGGAGGGAAAATACACCATCATGACCATCAGATCTCGCCTCAGGGAAGGTAAACACATCAGGAATTATAACTGCCAAGATGGAAACACAAATAGGAAGGAAATAAGGAACCCCCAGTGGAAATAGGAATGAAATAAGAACCCCAGTAACCCAGTGGAAATAGGAAGGAAATAAGGAACCCCCAATGGAAATAGGAATGAAATAAGAGCCCCAGTAACCCAGTGGAAACAGGAAGAAAATAAGGAACCCCGTGGAAATAGGAATGAAATAAGAACCCCAGTGGAAACAGGAAGAAAATAAGGAACCCCGTGGAAATAGGAATGAGATAAAAACCCCAGTGGAAATAGGAAGGAAATAAGGAACACCGTGGAAATAGGAATAGAAAGGAAATAAGGAACCCTTAGTGGAAATAGGAATAGGAAGGAAATAAGGAACCCTTAGTGGAAATAGAAGGAAATAAAGAACCCCAGTGGAAACAGGAAGAAAATAAGGAGTCCCGTGGAAATAGGAATGAAATAAGAACCCCAATGGAAATGGGAAGGAAATAGGGAATCCAGTGGAAATAGGAAAAAAATAAGGAACCCCAGTGGAAATAGAAGGAAATAAATGACCACAGTGGAAACAAGAAGGAAATAAGACATGCTGCTATATAGAAAGCCGCTTGTTAGGCAGAGTATTTCCCTCAAATTAAGTCAGTTTTGCCCCAGGGTGCGACCCACACCAGTCCACTAACACCCAGGTACCCATTTTACTGATGGGGAACATAGACAACCATTGTAAGGAAACAAACCCAATGAACATTTAGAGCCAGTTACCGATTAATTTTGACATATTTCCATTAAACTATGGGAAATAAGTGGTAGTCAGGCTCAATCCGAAGGAAGGAAGGAAGGAAGGATGGGCGGAAGGGAGGAAGGAAGGATGGGCGGAAGGAAGGAAGGAAGGAAGGGCGGAAGGAAGGAAGGAAGGAAGGATGGGCGGAAGGAAGGAAGGAAGGATGGGCGGAAGGGAGGAAGGATGGGCGGAAGGAAGGAAGGAAGGATGGGCGGAAGGAAGGAAGGAAGGATGGGCGGAAGGAAGGAAGGAAGGAAGGATGGGCGGAAGGAAGGAAGGAAGGATGGGCGGAAGGAAGGAAGGAAGATGGGCGGAAGGAAGGAAGGAAGGAAGGATGGGCGGAAGGAAGGAAGGAAGGAAGGATGGGCGGAAGGAAGGAAGGAAGGAAGGATGGGCGGAAGGAAGGAAGGAAGGAAGGATGGCGGAAGGAAGGAAGGAAGGAAGGATGGCGGAAGGAAGGAAGGAAGGAAGGATGGGCGGAAGGAAGGAAGGAAGGAAGGAAGGAAGGAAGGAAGGAAGGAAGGAAGGAAGGAAGGAAGGACGGGTGATCCTCCACGGATAATCGTAACATTTTCTTTATTATTTGCCAGGTGTGAGTGGCCGGGGGTGGCTGGTGTGTCGCTTGTGGGCGTGTCGCGGAGGTGTGGGCGTGGCGCTTGTGGTAGTGGGCGTGTTTTACACCCTCACTCGCACGTACACAGGTAAGCTTCAGCTCAGCCTCAAGGGAACGTTTCTCTCCGTAGACGAAGTGGGAGCTTCAGGAAAGTCAGACTTCATCACTGAAGACAGATGTCTCCTCTCCCAAGCTGGCGACACATGCCTGGGTATCTTTATTGCGAAAACGTTTCGCCCTCTCTGAAGCTGATGAAACATATAACGTCTGGGGATGCTTGTTACGAACACGTTTCGCTCTTCTCAAGCCTCCTCTTTCAAGCTGATGAACAAGCCATGTATGTAACCTCCGTTTATCTTCATTTTGAAAACGTTTCGCTATCCAGTGACTTTTTTTCAACTCACCACGAGGATGATACACCGCAGAGGTGACCAGCAATCCTCTCGATCACTTTACAATTTAATATTACAGCCAATTATAAAAAACTTTACAATGTTGCTTTATAATTTTAATTATTTTTGCATCACTTACTTTGAGGTCTGTATGGTCCCGTACTTGAAAATAATTGATATAATCGATTTCAGATTATTTGCTACGCTCATTGGAAGGCCCCATAGAGGAAGATAATCCAGAATTACTGCGGTACATAAGAGCAGAGGTACGATAAACCTATTGTTTTTTGGGATTCCTAATTGGCTTCTTAACGTTAGCTATCGTAGAATTATTATTATTATTATTATTATTATTATTATTATTATTATTATTATTATTATTATTAAGCGTATTTCAGTACCTGGGAAGATAAAGGCAATCGAAGTTTATTCAGTGGAAGGATAACTTCATATATATAAGTGCCAATAGGCTTGGGCTAGTAGGCCTCCTTCAGTGCTCCTTCTTTCTCATGTTCTTTCAGTGCTCACACATTAAATTCAATATGGCGTCCCCTCCCCCGCGTCACTCTCCGACTTTTACACTCGCCCCTTCACTTAAAATTTCTCGAAGGGTCCAAATAGCATCACATTTTAATACGCAATTACTATATCATTCATTTATAAGTTCTACATTTAGGAAATTATGTAAAAAAATTCCACAGTTTTATGTAATAAAAAAAAATTGGTCTTAAAATTGCCAGTAATCCATTGCTTTGTTCTATTTTAATATTCCATATGTTAGTGATTGCTACCTTTTTTGTCTTCAGTTGCTGAAGCCGCCCTCCAGCGAGCCTTATAATCTCTTGGGGAAGAAAAACATCGCTTCGCGCGAGCCTGAGAAGAGCGAGATGTTTTATAACGAGACACTGAGGACACTCTTCAACGGCAAGGTTAGTACTTAGAGGATGACTGAGATATATATAGATGCAAATCAAATGAGCTAAGCGGACATATCTGCAACGTTAGATTATTCATCAAGGCTACATTTCGCTTGCTACAGTGCCCCTTTGTTTCCATGTATTATGTCCAGCGTGGTGGATTCTTCGTGGAGGCCGGGGCGCTTGACGGGGAGACCATGTCCAACACGCTGTGGCTAGAGCAGGAGGCCGCCTGGGAGGGTCTCCTGGTGGAGGCAGATCACATCGCCTTCCTCGAACTTGTCTCCAAGCACAGGAGAGCCTGGGTAGCCAACGTCTGTCTGGCTCCCAACCCATACCCCTCCAAGGTAGGCCTATAGTTGCAGTTCCTTCCCCTTTCTTCCAAGGAATAAATGAAATGTGTTTATACTTTTCCAGTGTATAGCTGCAGTTTGTTCTCCAAGGTAAATATAGATATAGTTTGTTCCTCTCCCTCCAAGGTAGATCTGCAGCTACTGTTTTATTCCCTTTTCATATGTTCTTAGGTATACCAGAAGTTTACCACTCTCTAGTATACTCCTGGAGTATATCTTTCCCTCGTAAGGTATAGCAGCGCATTCTAGTCATTTGCATCCATTGGATGCTATTGTTTAATGTATAATAAGTCATAATAAAACACTTTAGTTTAATATTTCGTCTAGTGTGAATTATTCGTTAAAACAAAAATATTCAAAGGCGAGTTGAAATAAGCTGATCCTCTATTCAGTGACGTATTTGTGAAAGTTAATAACCCGGCATTTTATACCAGTGGTGTCATAGATGACAGGAAACATTGTAATGATCCTCGTGTAGTCAGACTGAAGCTTAATAAACTAATCTGGTGAAATTTTATTTGCTAACTCTTCAGAGATCTTATGTTGAAGATACAAGTACTGTCAAGAATAAATGGAACAACTCATTAGATGGAACAAATTACAACTAATCTATAAATTGAAAATTAAAATCGGATAACGTGTCGGTTTGCCCTTAGACCTTTTTCAATTTCCCACTTAATAATAACACTAGGCAACAAATTTGAACTCTTTTTGTTTATTCAGTTAAGAAACCAAACTGGTTGTTTTAAGTTAACTCTGATTAGCAGATGATGAATCTGAGTTTGTTTAGTCACTATCATGTACGACTTTTTGAAAATCTCATGACCAATATTTTGGCTATTTAAGGTAGAAGGTCTCCATGATACATTATATGTAGTTATTAAGTATGGTGCATGGAATGACGAAAAAAATAATGTTCTTAGTGTAAATTCGTATATATCTGCATAAGAAAAATAATAGAAATTTTCGTACACATATATATTTACTTTACAGTTTTCAGTTTTTTTTTTTTTTTGCCAGTGTCCGTCAGTAGTCGACCATTAAACTGATCAAGTTTACTTGATCTCTCTGCTCCATGATTACTCTGAGTGAAATCGTTCACTAAATTAGATGTGAATTCAGTGTCCCAGAATTATTTAGAAAGACGTGTTATTTAAACGTGAACTGAAACTACTGTTGGCCTGAATAAATAACAAAAAGGCACAATACCGTGACTGGAACGATACACAAATAACCCGCACATAAAAGAGAGAAGCTTACGACGACGTTTCGGTCCGACTTGGACCATTGACAAAGTCACAAAGTGTGACTTTGTCAATGGTCCAAGTCGGACCGAAACGTCGTCGTAAGCTTCTCTCTTTTATGTGCGGGTTATTTGTGTACTGTTGGCCTGTATATAATCAATGACGGCCTGAAAGATTTAATTTTCATTTTTCAGTTTGCGAACATTATATCTGTTGACACTGATATTATATAAAAAAAATGTAACACTTGTTCGAAATAATAAACAGGCCTGGGAAATATTACGTGTATTTTCTTACAGGAGATGTTCAGTATTCTTCCTCACTTCCCCGGTCCTATGGCTTGGGGTCTGGGCTTCAAGACGAGGGCCATGCACGGACTCACTCGCTTCTCCAGCAACAAAGTCAGTCTAATTTGTGTTTACTGGCTCCTGGACCTACTCTTATCTGAATCCTCTCCTCTCAAGCTGTCTAGGTCCACCTCTCTCATGACCCACCCTTTCAGGGGTCACCCTGTTCTCCCAACTCTCCCAGGGGTCACCCTTCTATCGACCCAACTCTCCCAGGGGTCACCCTTCTATCGACCCAACTCTCTCAGGGGTCACCCTTTTCTTGTCCCAACTCTCTCAGGGTCACATTGTTCTTGTCCCGACTCTCTCTCAGGGTCACCTTGTTCTTGTCCCGACTCTCTCTCAGAAGTCGCCTTTCTCTTGTCCCAGCTCTTAGAAGTCAGCTTTCTCTTGTCCCAACTCTCTCAGGGTACTACAGCCTATCTTGGCAGTTCTTTTAATACATTTATATTTGTTTACTCATAACATAATTATTTCACAATAACGTATCTGTCTTGATACACAGGTTATACCTCACCATCACCAGATATATTCTCGTTACCTGGTGATGGTGAGGTATAACCTGTGTATCAAGACAGATACGTTATTGTGAAATAATTATGTTATGAGTAAACAAATATAAATGTATTAAAAGAACTGCCAATATAGGCTGTAGTACCCTGAGAGAGTTGGGACAAGAGAAAGCTGACTTCTAAGAGCTGGGACAAGAGAAAGGCGACTTCTGAGAGAGAGTCGGGACAAGAACAAAGTGACCCTGAGAGAGAGTCGGGACAAGATAACTTGGTATTGTCAACCATAGTACTAAAAAAACAACCCCTTACACAGCTTGATTCCAATTTGACAGCTTTATTTTGCTTCCTATACGCATTCCGTTGGAAGGAAGTCAAAAGATAGAGGACAAACGTCCGTAACCATTTATCTGACTATTTCTGAAGTCTGACCAAGTATTCCTGCAGCCTTTTTTCTTCTATCCTCTTGTATTTGTAGTCTCAATATTTTCACATCATCCGCAGGTAAGGACATATCTGTCATTATTTCACGACAAAAAGGACAACACAGAGGTTAACACTGGCAAAAAGACAGTTTTGAGTTGAGATTTTGTATATTATCTCATTAAGCATGACTATCAATGCTTAACACAGGCGGAATGTCGACAGAATAAAGACGTGTTCTGCAAACTCACATAAGTGCGATAAGACACCTAAACTACTGGGAACGGTTGAAGGTCCTTGATCTGTATTCCCTAGAAAGCAGGCGAGAGAGATATATGGTAATATACACTTGGAAGGTCCTGGAGGAATTGGTACCAAACCTGTACACGAAAATCACTCCATATGAAAGCAAAAGACTCGGAAGGAGATGCAACATTCCCCCGATGAAAAGCAGGGGCGCCACGAGTACACTGAGAGACAACACAATAAGTATCCGGGGCCCAAGACTGTTCAATTGCCTCCTAGCATACATAAGGAGGATCACCAATAGACCCCTGGCTGTCTTCAAGAAGGCACTGGACAGGCACCTAAAGTCAGTACCTGATCAACTGGGCTGTGGTTCGTACGTCAGCTTGCGTGCGGCTAGCAGTAACAGCCTGGCTGATCAGACCCTGATCCACCATGAGGCCTAGTCTCAGAGCGGGCCGCGGGGGCGTTGACCCCCGAAACCCTCTCCAGGTAAACTCCAGGTAAACTCTGCCATACGTCACAGCACCATTTGCCAACCCAATCAGAGATCAACATTGACCCCTGTGGAACTCCTCCACATTCTTCCGTTGATACTTTACCCTATGTAGTAATCTTTTTGCTACTTACCGAGGGAAAATGGACACGAATGTACTCAGGACACCTACAGTGAAGACTTTTACGTCTTGAATACTTCAAATACATCATTTATATTTGAAGTGATGAAGGTCAAAGGACTGAAGCATCTTCAATAAAAGGCTTCCAAAATGAATGCATTTGTGTCCATTTCCTTCAAGCTGTTGGCAGTCCTTTACCTTCTGACTACATTTGCTGCTTAGTGTTCAAGTCTTCCATTATCCGTGTTGATATATCTTATACCCAGGTTTGCTTACTCCAAGTTTTTGCCTGCTACAACTCCTTCAATTACGGTACCGTCCTGAAAGCAGATCTCTTCTTTGTCAGGCGATCGGTAACTCGTGGTTCCAGAAGGTGCAGTGCGTGCCGCTGGAGTCCCTCCTGCTGGCGATGGGAGTGACCAGGGTCGATCTTCTTGTACTCGACGTCGAAGGCGCAGAGCTTGCTATCTTGGGCCATTTTGACCTGCAAAAATTCGACGTCCAGGCAAGTGCTGAGCTGTGATTATTGCTGCGGCTGTTGACGCAGTGGGGAGGCGCGAAATTCGCGAGGGTTATGTAGAAGTTAAAAGATAAGAGGTAATCTAAACGGAGACTTTGACTAGTTACGAGGACTTTATGTTGAGGACATCATGTTGAGTGGTGTAGCAGTTATGCTATGAGGTGCTCTTAATTAAAAAAAAACTTGAGCTATCCTTCCCTTCATCGGATCAAAACCTGATTACCACTCGTTCCCCATGAGCGACATGACCCCTGCGGTCTTAGCTCTTCCCCGTGAAAACAATAACACCTGACTCGTTGCGGAAAAAACCCATGCCCAGTGCTAGGATAGTTTATAGACAAGGCGTTTCGCCACTCGTTTCCTCAAAATCCTAACACTGCACACATGTTTTATTATGCTGACGTTTTACACCAAGTCTTGCCCAACTAACAGGTTGTCTGTGTAGAGTGGAAGAAGGCGGATGAACTGGATGAGGTGTCGAGGCAGCTGAGTGAACGAGGGTACCAGGAGGCAGCCAGGGACTTCGAGGATCTTATACTCATTAAGAAGGGGTCAGAGTTCCAAGGTCGACTCCCTAAGAACAGGAGAAGATAATAAGGATGGGGGAAGCACTGTAACAGGCCTACTGGCTCATGATAGTCAAGTAACATTTATTATTATTATTATTATTCAGTTAAGCACTAATGTATGCCTATAATAACTGTGTTTAGTGCTGCCACTGAGTAAATGTATAACCGGATGCAAAGTCATAGATATTACTTGACTTACCCAAAAACTAAAATGGGGAAAAATCCTTTATTAGGCTATCCCAAGTTAAATCTACTTAACTTAATATTTAGCTAAATGCTCAGAAAATACATTTTTTTTTTTTAAGAATGGTCTTTATGGGATATATTGAGGCACAAGTACATTATGTAGATTTACAGGAGGATAACCTAATGAAGTCAAATAATTTCTGTATGCCGTATCTCTGTGTCTCTAAAGACAGGGAGCCAGGGCCGGGTCATCATCTGGAAAAGACCCGGACCGGGAGAGTACCGGCGAATCAAGAACAAACAAGCCAAGACCACTGCAAGAATTGAAACTTATTTCTCTTATGTTTAAATAAAAATATGACTTAATCACCTACGTACCTACTTACCCACGTGGCTACTTACCCACATACCTACTTACCCACATACCTACTTACCTACGTACCATTATACACAAGTTACACCTTCTAGATCACCTTCGTTTTCTCTGACGATTTCGTAATTTTTCCCGTATATTTCTTTTTTAACTTAATGTATCTGACCTCCATTAGCATAAATATTGGAATGACGTCGAAATAAAGAGTTTGAAAACTTTTAAAATATAGAACTCAAGAAAAGCAAATAAAACTAGAGCCTCGACCTTGCCAGGATTCGAACCTGGAATCTTCTGATCCGTAGTCAGACGCGTTATCCGTTGCGCCACAAGGCCTTATACACGTATTGGTCGCAAAGGTTTTTATATATATATATATATATATATATATATATATATATATATTATATATATATATATATATATATATATATATATATATATATATATATATATAAACATCTGGTTCCTAGATGATGGCACACTAGCAGGTACAAAGGAGTCCCTCCTAAATAACAAAAAGGCACAATACCGTGACTGTGTCAATGGTCCAAGTCGGACCGAAACGTCGTCGTAAGCTTCTCTCTTTAATGTGCGGGTTATTTGTGTAGAGTCCCTCCTACATGACCTTACACAGGTAATGACACGGGGACAGGAAATGGGTCTCCTCCTGAATCCATCCAAATGTGAAATCATCTCAGTCAATCAACAAGTGATAAATGCAGTGAGATCAAAACTACCAGGAGCAGCAGTCATTGCCCCCACAGTGTCTTGCTAGGAGCACCTCTGGGAAGCAATGCCATTGACACAATTCTCAGGAAGAAATTGGAAGAGTTAAGGAGAATGGAACAACGAATAGGCAATCTTGACACCCACGATGCCTTGTACCTTCTCACAAAGTGCTTGAGTCTGCCCAGGTTGACATATTTCCTAAGATGTGCACCTTCATATGATAACCCTATACTGCACGAATATGACAGTATTCTGAGGCAGATTTTTACGAAAGTACTTAACCTTACTCTAGAAGACGGGCAGTGGAACCAAGCTACACTTCCAGTCAGACTTGGTGTGCGCAAGTCATCACAGATTGCGTTACCTGCTTTTCTGTCCTCGTGTATTGCATCCAGAGAGCTTGTAGCAGCGATTCTCCCTGAACATCTTAGGGACAAGATTGGAGCCCAGGACCAAAAATTCATTGACGGAGCAATGATCTGGGATAATCTAAAGGGTTCAGAAACCAGACCTGCTCCCCCCAACAACTACAAACAATCGCACTGGGATGGTCCAATAATGGAAAATATAGCCTCAACGATGCTTCAGAGTGTGTCAGGGAAGGATAGAGCCCGCCTGCTGGCAGTGAGAGCCCCTCATGCTGGGGACTTTCTGTTGGCTGTTCCCAACTCCAGCCTTGGCACACGCCTCGACCCACAGACCATCCGCATCGGTGTTGCCCTTCGACTTGCCGCCCCTATTCTCGCCGAACACAGGTGTATTTGTGGCAGTGAAGCAGCAGACCGATTCGGGTACCATGGTCTTGTGTGCCGTAAATCCGAGGGAAAGATTGCAAGACATAAGGAGGTTAATAACATTATCAAGAGGAGCCTCACAACAGCTGGATGCCCAGCAGTAAGGGAGCCACCCCAACTATGCAGATCTGATGGCAGCCAGAAGCGTCCAGATGGTATCACCCTTCAAGCCTGGACAGATGGGAAGCAGGTGGTGTGGGACTATACATGTGCATCTACCTTGGCTGATACCTATCTCCAATACACCAGGGAGGAAGGAGGGGCAGCTGCCAGCTTTAGGAGTCCCAAAAGTCTAGAAAATATGGAGAACTTGCCCATCATTATATGTTTGTTCCCATAGGCTCAGAGACCCTTGGCTCATGGGGAAAGAGTGCATCTAATTTCCTTAAGGAGCTGGGAAAAAGACTCATCAGGGTAACTAGGGATCCCAGGGCAGCTAGTTTTCTGTTCCAGCGGCTCAGTGCGGCTGTTCAAAGGGGTAATGCATGCTGCATTTTGGGCACACGCCCCAGCTCTGAGGAGCTGGATGAGATTTTCGCCTTATAATCGGTGATACACACGTAACAACATGTACCGTATATGCCACCTTTATATCAACAATGTATCTCTTAAATCTTCTGTGCCATATTATGTAATAAAATATTCCTATCGGTAAAAAAAAATAGTTTAAAAGATGGGGTGGTAGGGGAAGTGGAATATTCAAATGGCTTCAGGAAGAAATCCAAATATTCTTCCTTGAAGCCTTTTTATCCACTTCTCCGAGGCTATGGGTCCCACAATTTACACCAGAGGTGGACCCCATCCTATATATATATATATATATATATATATATATATATATATATATATATATATATATATATATATATATATATATATATATGTGTGTGTGTGTGTTGTGTGTGTGTGTGTGTGTGTGTGTGTACTCACCTATTTGTGGTTGCAGGGGTCAAGACTCAGCTCCTGGCCCCGCCTCTTCACTGATCGCTACTGGGTCCTCTCTCTCTCTGCTTCCTGAGCTTTGTCATACCTCTTCTTAAAACTATGTATGGTTCCTGCCTCCACTACTTCACTTGCTAGGCTATTCCACTTGCTGACAACTCTATGACTGAAGAAATACTTCCTAACGTCCCTGTGACTCGTCTGAGTCTTCAGCTTCCAGTTGTGACCCCTTGTCCCTGTGTCCCCTCTCTGGAACATCCTATCTCTGTCCACCTTGTCTATTCCCCGCAGTATCTTGTATGTCGTTATCATGTCTCCCCTGACCCTTCTGTCCTCCAGTGTCGTCAGTCCGATTTCCCTTAACCTTTTCCTCGTACGACATTCCCCTGAGCTCTGGGACTAGCCTTGTTGCAAACCTTTGTACTTTCTCTAACTTCTTGACGTGCTTGACCAGGTGTGGGTTCCAGACTGGCGCTGCATACTCCAGTATGGGCCTAACATACACAGTGTACAGTGTCTTGAACGATTCCTTATTAAGGTATCGGAACGCTATTCTCAGGTTTGCCAGGCGCCCGTATGCTGCAGCAGTTATTTGGTTGATGTGTGCCTCCGGTGATGTGCTCGGTGTTATGGTCACCCCAAGGTCTTTCTCCCTGAGTGAGGTCTGTAGTCTTTGTCCACCTAGCCTATACTCTGTCTGCGGTCTTCTTTGCCCCTCCCCAATCTTCATGACTTTGCATTTGGCTGGATTGAATTCGAGAAGCCAGTTACTGGACCACATGTCCAGCCCGTCCAGGTCTCTTTGCAGTCCTGCCTCATGCCTCGTGTGTGTGTGTGTGTGTGTGTGTGTGTGTGTGTGTGTGTGTGTGTGTGTGTGTGTGTGGTGCCGAATAGGTAAAACTGGTCAATTAGCAAGAACTCATTTAAAATCAAGTCCTTTCTCAAATTTTCTTTTATACGTTTAAAGATATATTTTTTCATTTATGTTAATGTAGAAATTAATATTTTTTTACCAAAAGCACCTTAGAAAGTTTACCTAACCTTATTATAACAAGCGCTATTCAATTTAGTCTAATCCAACTAAATATATTTTAGATAAGTTTACAGTTATTTAATAATAAACAAAATGAAATATATTTTTTTTCATTAGGTTCAGAATCATTTTTGTGAAATTATTGCATACACAAATTTTTGCTTGCCTTATTTGGCAAGAGGAATGTTGCTATTTAAGCCAACATTGCAGAATCTCCACGACTATGGTGCTCTTCGCACCTACTCCTAGGTTGAGGGACTGATTACCTCATCTTCTGTACATAGTTCTACTGTCTTCAAGTTATGTCCTAGAATTTGTATTGATAAAGCCACTGGATGGCGAAACGTCTACAATAAAGATACCCAGACGTTGCACATGTGTCTTAATCTCATTGCAAGTTTTACCTATTCGGCACGACATCTCCACAGGGTGTGGAGATCTTAAGCTCAAGTATTTTCACACTTCTCAGTGCATCATCAGGAGCTATGCAATGTTGCAAGGCAGCAACTGAAGCAGGGAGAGAGTAGCACAGTGCGGGTGTCACCGGCCGCAGCTTTCAGAAACTGTAACCATGTATAGGAGTGAGGATGATTCATTACCTTTGTAACTTGCCATGATTGTGACCAGATCTACCTGGAGTTCATTACCTTTGTAACTTGTTCAGCTTCCCAGCCAGAGTAGAAACATTGGACGTGTTTCTTTCCACCTGTTGTCTATGTTCCCCATCAGTAAAATGGGTACCTGGGTGTTAGTCGACTGGTGTGGGTCGCATCCTGGGACACTGACCTAATTTGCCCGACAGGCGGAGCATAACAAGGGGCTTTCTATATAGTAGTATGTCATTGTTGTCAGCTAGGACTGTATACCTTGTACATATACTTGTAGTAAATAAAGATATTATAACTTTGGGGTCAGTCCCTGGACCCATTATGTACCTCTGTAATCTTTTGACTACCGCCCACAGGATGGGCATGGGGTGCATAATAAACATATTAAACTAACTCTTAGAATGTGGGGCCAACGGTCGGTGCCAATCCAGCACCACCACCACCCCCCTGCTCCTTATATAGGGTAGGAGGGTTTTTGAAATGTCAAGTATTGTGGAATTAGAAGATATAATAACCAGCCCCAAGCTTTTTCTAGCCACTTAGAACGGGTCATGTGTCTTGAGAAAATGCTTTCTCATTGGATACTATATATATGGATTGCTGTTATTCTGTGTAACCTTTTTTATTAATAAAAGACAGGAATAGAATGTGCTCTTTGTCCATTTAAATGTCCTCCTCTGGGGTACATGAGTGTTCCCAGGGGTACCCAGAAGTTTCTCTCCCTAAATATTGTCTACTATCCTTCTCAGTGTCGGTTAACATGCCTTGGGAATCTTCTTTACCATTCCGATAATATTTCTATGATCCAAATTTCTATTTCTAATACCCTTTAACTCCACTACCTATGTTATCCCGTAATCTTGTGTA